CCCCGCCGGCGGCGACTTTAGCACGTTCATGGGCCGTCCGGTGCGTCCAACCACGAAATCCTTTAACTTCCCAGCCACTGATGTCTTCGAGTAGGCTACGAACGCGGCGCCGCCGTATCAGCCCGCCGAGTATCAGCCCGAGTCCGCGGCGCCCCCGCGAGCCATCCCGACCGCCATTGCGCATGAGCTGCCCTCGACCGTCCCCTCCCACGCAAACTACCCCGACAACCTCCCAACCAACGGTCCCATGATGCCGGAGCCCTTCGGCGTCCACGGTGTGCCGATGAACGGTGGCGGCTTCGACGCCTCGTTCCAGCACGGCGGCCACAACGGACCGTACAACCACAGCGGCTACAACGGACCGTACGACAATGGCGGCTACGACCCTGTGTACGGCAACAGCGGCCACAACGTCCCTGTCAACAACAACGGCCATGACTTCCCTGTCAACGGTGGCGGCTTCGACGCCTCGTTCCAGCACGGCGGCTACAACGGACCGTACGGCAACAGCGGCTACAACGGGCCGTCCGACAATGGCAGCTACGACCCTGTGTACGGCAACAGCGGCCACAACGTCCCTGTCAACAACAACGGCCATGACTTCCCTGTCGACAACAACGGCTTCGGCACCCCGTTCGACAACAGTGGCCCCGGCGTCGCTGTTCACAACCATGACTACTGCGCCCCGTTCGGCAACGGTGGCTACTACGACCCCCCGTGCGACAACAGCGACCACGACGTCCCATCCAACGTCACTGGCGAAGACGTCCCGGTCAACGCGGGCCCCTTCGACGATTTTCCTGAATGCGATTTCCACACTGTTGAGGAGGCGGAGCCAGGTACGCTCTCCACTCTGCAAGCGACCGAGACCCACGCTGACCGTTTCCCATCAGCTCCCCGCCGCAACCGCAACATCACACCGGTGAGTGTGCGCCACACGCCGCACACCGCCGAGAGGCCTCGGGCTGCCGCCTCGCGCGCAGACCTGAAGGCACACCGAAATTTATCCACTGGCGCCACCGGCATGGAAGGTGCCCTCGCCAGCGACGT